AACAAACTGGATTTATATCATCAAGAAATTGACAAATTCATCTTTCAAATAACTAAAATCAAACTACAAACCAAGGCAACTATGGTAACACAGACACACTATTTGTTGGAAGCATTTGATTTGAATTGTCGCAATGGTTCTAAATGGAAGACTATGGGTTGATGATGGTCCAATATGTAAAAAAGCATTTGATTCCGAGAAATCACGAATTTTTTCTTTCAAAAGAAAAATGCACTTTAATGGCTAATATATACCAAAAGACTGAGCGAAATTCATCGTTGGGAGAGCATCCTCGATGTAACATTATTTTTAAAATTTTATTTCTTTACTCTTTATCAAATACCAGGCCGGCACTGTAACTTAAAATAGTAATTTTCAAAAAAATAGTTTTTCAAAAGAATTGAGCAAAAGCTCGGGTAAGAAGTATTGAACTATTTGAAGGGGAAACACCATACCCAAAAATTTCGGCATGTTGAAATAATAAAAATTATTTAGCCACCGAATAGTATATTCAAAATGGTACAAATTTATGGTCAAAATTTTTACGAGATCTTAAAAAAAAAGATAAAAGGTGATGCTGCAACTTTTAAAATACTTTTTCATTATTTAAAAAGTTAGGGTACATTCATTTTTATCCGTTTTAGACATAAATTTGAGAGACAAAGAAAAGATAAAAGGTAAATTTACTCATAAAAAATAAAATTGGAAACAAAAATATATAACTGTTTTAATGTCCATCTAACAGAGAGCCAAACAACAACTGACTCACCCCTGCAGCCAAGGTCACGCTCCGCTGCGTCACGTGGGAAAACATACGTAGAGGTTCTCGTCCATGTTCTCAGCACATCCCCCTTTTTAAGATTTGAAATATATATATACATTACAAACTTTAAATGCATAATATAATTAATAATGAAGGCGATCCACAGGTTTAACAATTCGTCCACTCCGGGTTCTTATCTGGCCAGCCTTTCTCAAGGTAGTTGACTACTGCTTTCAGGGTCGTATCTTCTTGTTGAGCTTCAAAAATCTTCGTCAACATCTCGTCTTTGTCGGTTATACTCGAGAGAACTGCATTTATATGCGCTGAGGTTTGCCGTTCGTTTTCACCTCCCTTGGTTGTAAGAAGTGGTTGTCTGGATAATGCATCGGCGTCGAGCAGCTCCTTTCCAGGGATATGCACTATTTCGAATCCAAACCTCATCATACGCATTCGGAAACGTTGCAGTCTTGGGGTCAGCGAACTCAATTCTTTCGTCGAAAATAGAGGAATGAGAGGCTTATGGTCGGTCTCAATTCGGAAACGCTTTCCAAGCAGGAAATCTTGAAAACGTTCGCAAGCCCATGTAATTGCGAGAGCCTCTTTCTCGATCTGAGCATATCGTTTTTCGGTAGGTGTCATAGTTCTAGAAGAATAAGCAACAGGTCGCCAGATTCCATTCTTACCTTCTTGCTTCAGTACCGCTCCCAAGCCATATGAAGATGCGTCGGATGACACCATAGTTGGTTTCCCGACGTCGTATGCTGCCAAGATGGGTTGAGTCGTGAGCAATTCTTTCAACTTTCGGAATGCTCGCTCCTGGCTGCAATCCCAAACGAAGTCTTGACCTTTCACCAACAACTGGTTCAGTGGAGCCACGATTTCAGATAAATTTTCCACAAAGCGTCCCAGATGGTTCACCATGCCAAGAAATATTCTTACGCCATGAACATCGGTTGGAGCAGGCATCTTCGACACTGCTTCGATTTTCGCTGGATCTGGTCGAATACCGTCTTCATCCAGTATATGCCCAAGAAAATTAATTCTTGGCACTCCGAAGACACACTTGGCCTTGTTTAGTGTAACTTTCGCCTCTTTCAGTTTTCGGAGCACTAAACGAAGAATTCGATCGTGAGTCTTGGAGTCGGAGGCAAATATCAGGATATCGTCCAGGTAACACATTACACCGTCCATGCCTTGCAAGATTACTGACATAACTCTCTGAAAATACTCTGGGGCGAGTGAGATTCCAAATGGCATTCTGCAGTATTTATATCTCCCAAAAGGAGTGATGAAGGTCGTTAAATGCTGGCAGTCCGGGCTCAACGGAATCTGGTGAAAGCCACTGTTCGCGTCCAGTTTCGAAAAGAATCTTGCTTCCCCCAGTTGCCCCAGCATGTGCTCCACCACTGGCATGGGATGCACTTCGCGCTGTACATGTTCGTTCAGCCTTGAGAGATCCACACAGAGTCGTATGTCGCCATTCGGTTTACCAGCAATCACAGTCGGTGCACACCATTCAGTCGCAACGTTAACTTGTGCTATGATTCCCGCCTTCTTGAGTTCTTCCAATCTTGTTTTGAGCTTTTCCATCAAAGGTATTGGTACCCATCGAGGAGTATGCACAGCATATGGTTTTGCTCCAGGTTTCAATTTGATTTCGTAAGGGTTTCCGATCTGTCCCAGTCCTTCAAATACTTCAGGGAATTCCTTGATTGGGTTAATTCTCGTCGCAACCACTTCAATTCGCCTCGCCAGGTTCAAGAGCTCACATGCCCGGCGACTCAGAAGAGGTTCACTCAAACGACGAATAACATAAATCTTCTGCTTGATTTCATAATTGCCATTTCGCAGCGTTGATATAAACATACCCACAGTCTGAAGTTCGGAGAATTCAGCAGCTCTAAGGTTGATATCACTTTCCACTAGTCGTTGCTGTCCCATTATCTTCTTGAAGAGACACAGAGGAACACATGTAACATCCGCCTGGGAGTCGAGCTTGAACTTCACCTTTTTCCCGTTCACTTGGATTTCTGCTGTCCATCGCCTCCTGCACTCGCCTTCATCATCATCGAGATTAGATGAATCCTCCACAGCTGAGACCTCCAGGAGAAAACCAATTTCTTCATCAAGTTCAGAAACTGCTTTGACTTCCGCAGTCTTCGCCTGCTTATCTGGACAGCAATTTGCAAAATGGCCAGTTTTTGAACATAGGTTGCATCTTTGTCCT